GCACGGGCTCGGGCGCTCCCCGGCGGCTGTGGCACCACGTAGCCGCGGCGCCTCCTCCCTCCACCGCTCTCGCGCTCCCTTTCTCCACGCCCCTTCTCTGGCCAGCCCCGAGCGCCCCCGACCCCGAGTGCTGAGGCGGGGAAGGTCGGAGCACTCCAGGCGGAAGGGAGGAGGAAGGGCGCCCTGGGAGCACGCCGACTGGGAGCAGCCTGGCGGAGGGACCGGGATTGATGAACCGCGGGTCCCTCTCCGCCGCCGGCAGGGAGGGGGTCGCTCCGGGGCGAGAGAGCTGGGTGAGCGGGGATCCTGCGAGCCCCTCGCCCCCGGACGAGCCCGCTTCCGGCTGTAACCACACTCACGCCCCCTCCTCCACCACCGGGTTATGTTGCAAGAGAAGACGCCATGCCACTGAGCCGGAGAGGAAAAAGGTCTTGGACTTGGCTGGGGACAAAGAGGGAGGATAAGGTGTTGGGGAAGGGGCGGAGGGGCGGGGAAGGGGGGGAGCCAATCGGAGGGTTGTCAAGGAAAGTCTCCCGAATCCCAGTGTGGCTCCGACCCAACCTCCCCACCTGCCAGAGAAATGAGCTTCATCCTAGAATGGGGACGAGGAAGGAGAGACGGCCCAAAGGAGTCCCGACCCGGGATAAGATCCTCGCCCTAGGGTCTGTGGCAACAACACAAGCCCAGACAGCGGATGCCCCCGCGAGACGGAATAGTGCCCAAGGAGCTTGACTGGTTCCTAACACCAAGAAGGAATCCAGAAGGAGTTCCGGGACGGTCTTCTGGGGAATCCGAATTGGGCTTACAGATCATGAACCATCAAGCTTTAGACCTCTGGGGAAGGATAGAACGCGAGGCTGGAAATCGTTTTAGAGCCCTACCTGAGAAGATGTGCCCATCAGTTGCGGATCCGCCCTCCTCCTGGAGCACCTGCGTGGGTGCCGGCAAGCAGGTGTCAGTATTACATGGAAGAAGACTGAAGAACCGCTCAGAACTGTGTGTAAACGTCCATGGGAATTTTTTTTAAGGCTTCAAAAAGCTAGAGAGAGAGATGAGATCAGGAAAATTTTCCAGCACCATCTCGTGCAACCTGGTACTGGGCACAGATATCTGCCTGTTCCTGAAACTCTCCACTGATACTCGAGTACGCTGAAGTATGAGCACCTTTGGCATAGGGTTTCCCCAGGTAACCACCTCTCACTTTTGTCAGAAACTGACTAGCTAGTTGACAACGTACAGTCCAGCTTTGGAGGGGCAAAGTTACCTTTTCTTGCAATAAACCGCACTTTGAGATAGGCTTGGCCTTGAGAGGGATTGAGGCTGTGTTGAGGTCCCAGTGGAGCCAGAGTACCCACAAAGCTGGGGGAACCAGGAGATCCTACCCATTCAATACCACAGAACTATGACGCTGGCTAACAGTGACTTCAGCCGTTTGAATTAAGTTGCCTTTCTCCATCAAAAGTGTCCTCCACCTACCCCAAAACACACAACATATTACGAGCAATCTGGTAGGCTTCAAAGGTAAGGTCTGCTAGCAGATTTCCTCTTAACAGGAAGGGACTGACAAGCTTTACCTGAGCTTACTCCTGCTATATTGTGATTCTTTCTATATATCAATAGAATAGTTGCCGCAGATTCCTGGATGAGTCAGACGAGATCTGGCCTAAGCTGATATGACACAGTTCAGAAAAGGACTAGAAATTAGATCCAAATGATGACTGAGTTGATCCGTAAGCTGGATTTGTCTTTGAAATAAAAATCAACAGAGAAGAGAAAGCTCAGATAACTCATTGGTAATTTGGGGGTTGGGGGGAGTAGTTGAATTCTCATTTCAAATGTCAAAAGTGGGTTCTAGGAGAATTTATGGGTTAAATATAAAGCAAACCAGGAGAAAATAGAATATTTGTTAAACCTCTGGCTAGAAGTTTTTCTCAACTCAGAAGCAATAGAATGGAATTATCAATGGATGTGACTGGGTAAGATCTTAAACTTCTATGTGTCAAACACTTTTAAAGGCTACCTAAACCAGAAAAAAAATATATATATAGACAGCAAACATGAAAAGTCTGAAAATCTATATATAAAGTAGGACTCATACAGCTAAAGTAAAATATAGACTCTCAATGATTGAATATAAACAGAAAACAAACCAGCCACATACAAAGAAATCAAATAGTAATAAATATATGGTGAAAATTAACCTTACTAGTAATCAAAGAAATAGACATTAAAAGAGATTAATGATAAAGATAGGTGGATAATGAGCACTGATTTGCTCCTCTGTTGCTAGTGTCGTAAAACGACACTGTCCACTCGGAAAGCATTTTGGCTGTGTCGCGGGTCAGAGTGCTCCTGCAGTTTGACCCAGCAGTCCCACTTCTGGGAATCTAGCCAAAGAAATACTCGAAAATATGGACAAAGATATATACTGCAAATTGTACATTATAGCATTATTTATATTGAAGACTTGGCTACAACTTAAAGATCCTAGAGGAGGACTCTACCCAGGTCCTTGTAGCCACCTGGACCACAATGTTGCTTCGTGTGTCTCTGCCTTTGCACCCGTTGTTCCTGGTCTCTGCCTGAAGCACACTCCTTGCTCTCTGTGACCCGACTCCTCTTCCTTATCCTCAACACTTTCCATCAGCGTTTTCAAGACTCCTTCTTTTGTTCCCTCAACTGCTCCTACAGCTTCCGTTTGGGCTCTTGGGGACTACCTGTAACTACTTGTTTACCTGCCCATGTCCTCCACTCTGCTGTGACTCCTTCAAGGGTGTGGTCCGTCTCCTTTTAATCTTAGAATCATGAGCACCCTGCTAATGTGGCAGGTACTTGATAAATATTTATTAAAGAAATGGATGAATCATTTACTCAAACCTTTTACAGCCACTAAAGATGATGATTATGAAGAGTATGTGGCAATATGTGAATACATTATAATGTTAAATTTTAAAGGCACTATATATGGAATTATCTCAAAGTAATATTGTTAAATGAAAATAGCAAGGTGCAAAACAGTATACACAGTAGGCTGGCATTTCGTTAAAAAAAAAAGCATGTTGGCAAAGGAGAGGGGAACATATATGTACACATATTTCCTTGTTAATGGGTAGGCTGTCCATGGAAGAAAATAAACTGGTAACAGTGGTTTGGGGTGGGTGTGGACAGACTGGAGAACTGAAAGATATGATGGGAAGGAGACCCTCTTTATTTTTTAATATATCCTTTTGTTTGTTTTTGAAATTTGTACCAAGTACATGATATAACTGTTTTGAAAAATAAATCACTCTATGAAATTTTATGCAATTATATGAAAAAAAGTTAGGAGTTAATTCTTGCCAAATAATAACAGTTGCTAGGTGGTGGGATTGTGAGTGACTTTGTTTTCATGTTTCTGGTTTCAAATTTTTTTTTAATGTGGTTATATTGCTTTTACAATTGCGAAGATAAAATTATAAATAAAGACATAAACAAGTAACTAAATACTTGTTATATTTATTTCATCACAACTCCTTCACGACTCAATAAATTCTGGTCTATTTTAAGGAGAAAAGAAAGAGTAATTTTCTCCCTGGAGACTGCTACAGCCATCTCCTTTATAATTCTGAGATTGAAAAATGGTTAATAAGTTTAATTACTGAAGAGTTAATCAGCTTTCAAATGGCAGTGAGAACAGGTAAAGCAGGTTCTTCTAATAGTTGCCTAGCTGAACAGCAAGATATGACAACAGCATTTTAACCTAAGACACCAAATTTAATGAGCTCGTCTGTCTCTATCTCTGTTTCACTCTTCCTGCGCACCTGTCCGCCTCTGTCCTCTCTCTCATTCACTGTCTGTCTCTCTGCTCCTCTATATTTTTCCTTTCCTTCCCTGTGGCGGGCACTGCTCTTTGCCTCCGCACCCCCATGGCCTCCTTCCTCTCAGAACTCTAGTGGTGTTCCAGTGTCCCCTTTGTTAACAGCCATATGCTTTGAGAAGACCAGCCCCGCCTGGCTGGCTCCAGGGGGTGAGTCTTGACCTTCTGAGCCCAACCTGGCTCTTGCCAATGTTTGGTTCAGAAGTGGGCACATGACGCAATTCTGGCCCATGAGACATGAGGAGAATCTGCTGGGGGTTTCCTCACATCTAAGAGATGGTTTCTCGTTGGCCTCGGATTTAGTTGCGTTTGGATGTGACACCTGGATCCTCTGCAGCCTGGCAATAAAGACCATTCCAAGGATGGCAGAGTAAGAAAATGAGAAAAACCTAGGCCTTCATGACACTGTTGTGTGGCTGACTTAAGCCTCTCAGGACTTCCTGTCGTAGGAGAGAGCTTGCTTGGTAAGGCTCTGTGAGACAGGTTTTCAGTTTCATGCAGCTGAAACTACCCTGACTTAAACATTCTCCTTCTGAGGTTCTCCCTGACCCATTGAGGTTCTCTTCTTGAATCATGGCCAGTGTTTCCACGTTTCTCTCAGTACCACTCTTTTTCTGCTTTTCCCTCTCCTGGCCTCTCTTCCCCAACTGTTCCTGTCTCTCTCAAACAATGCAGGGGAAGCCTTTAGCACTGTCTGACCAGCTCACACCCACCCCTTTCTCTCAG